TCATCCTCATCCTCATCCTCATCCTTCTCGTCGTCGTCGCCGCCGTCGTCGTCGTCGTCGCCCTTGTTGCAAAAGAGCAATTACCTTCACCCTACATCACCCTACCACATGCAGTGTCTCAGTACATGTTGTAAAGAACCCTTGATTAACGTGAAGATTGATACATGCTTTACCACTGGGACGTGCAGTGGTTCGTGAGATCTGCGTAGGTTAGCAAAATCTAGCAAGGGTCGATCCGCAGGTGGGAACCGGAGGAATTGTTTGATTCGCGAGATCCGCTGATTCCCTGAAACCGATCCGTCAGATGCGCTGATAAACAGATATAAACAGCCTCTACAGCCCAAGATGGTGACCACATATGGCCCAAAACAACTCAGATGCCGTCACTTTTCCCTGCAAATATTGTACTTTTGTCATCTTTTGTCAAGGTTCAGACAGTTCTTGAGAAGAACTGCAGGTAACCCAAGAACTGCGAAGTGGTTGGAACACGGGAGCCATTATGGTTCGGAAGGTGGTTCGTTCGAAAGTCCGGATGCTACCCATCTAGATGGTCGGAACACGGTTTCACGTTGGATGTGATGTGAGTTGCGCACTGGTTTCGACCTACACCCCCGGGAACCCCTCCGGGCAGGTATATAGAATGTTCCAAAACCATTATGGAATACCACTTACTCAATCACTTTTCCTAGCAAAACACTGCTGAGGGCGTCACAAGTGTGCAAAGCTTTGGAGTTCAGCACTGAATAGTCGGTATTCTAGATACAGCATCCAGAGGAACTCCCCAAACCATAGCAAATCCACATTTCCCTGACTCTTTCTTGGTGCTCTTCAGTTCTTCTCTTCGTCACCGAGGAGACAAAGTATTGGAAGAACTGCTGCCACGTGTGGGTGAGAAGTTGGCGAAGACCTTGGACAAGTACCGTTCGAACGAACTGATCCAGTTGAAGCCCAGCGGAGCCTTGCCGAAGGGGGTGACCAAACGAGAACTTGTTCAACTCCATGGATGCAATGATGCCAACAAAAGAACCTGGAATTTAAGAACTGCAAAAGTGAAATCCAGGTCGATCATGGTCAATCCATGTTGATCCAGGGAGTTTTGGAAGGCTTGATCATGGTCAATCCATGTTGATCCAGGGAGTTTTGGAAGGCTTGTCCTTTTCATTCACTTTCCTTTCAAACGCTACTTTTGATATGCTTTGAGTAGACATGCACTTTTTTCCCGGGGCACACCAGAACAAAGCCCACTAGGCCCAGGACAGGCTGGAAGGCCCAAAGGGATGAAGCTCCAAGATCCTTTGAACCGGTCCAGGTCCAGTCCAGTGAATCAAGTTTTACTTTCCCTATTAGGGATCCAGTCGTACCGAACCTCAGGTTCGCTTTGCTCTGGACCCTCCTGGAGGTGCCCCAAAGCAATGTCTCCGTCCTCACCGTACCTGAGGTTCGGTACGACGGGATCCCTATAGGGAATCAAGTTTTACTTTGGACCATCCCAAAGTCTTGGGTTTTTCCGTCTTCGGCCACTCATGGGCCGCACGCCGAGGTGTTTTGTACGACGCCCAACGGGAGATCATCACGTTTGCGGATTTTGCTTGGGGAGATGAGGGCAGTGATGGGACACTGGGCCGCAGTTTACGACTGGATCTCGCGCTGCTTTTCGTGAGTGGGAGGTCCAAAAGGCGATGCGGCGATGCGGCGTTCGTTTGCACCAATACCACCGTCAAGGTGCAGTGTTCTTGTTTTGGCTCCAGTGATATGATTCCATTGTGGAATGCTTCCTCTTCCCCAACCAGTGTGGTCACACATTCGGGGTTCTTATAAGTAAGTTTGCCCAACTCGGGTGTTCTATCGGTGGTGCTGGCATCCGTCTTTGGCTAATTCGCTGCTATGTACAGACATTCATGCCTCTCAAGAACTTTGCAGTGCATTTTGACTGCGCAGGATTTGAGGAATGTGCAAGGCTTGAGTGGGGGCTTTTCTCGACTGCGGTGTCGTGCACACACAGACTTGGTCTACTTCTCGTGGCAGGGAAACCTCGTGTTTTGGTGGTGGTGGTGGTGGTGGTGGTGGTGGTGGTGATGTTCCTAAGTGGACTTGTCGTGGACGGTGCAGGAGGGTGGTTTTACTTCTATGTGCAGATTTCGTGGCATGCGCAGAGCTTTCGGACATGGTGGTGATCTTCGGCGCGCTCCGACTTCATGGCAGCAGTGAGCCGTGATCTTTGGTAAATGCTTTTTCTGCGAAACACCTGGGGAGGGCTGCGCGATGTGAATCGAGAAGATGCGCAGATTCTTGGCAGCCGCATCATTTTGTGAACCTTGACGTGCGGACTTTGTGGCAGGTACAGAATTTTGTGAACCTGGAAGGGCAGATTTCGTGGCAGGTGCAGCGCTGTGAACCTCCAAGTGCAGAAATTTGTGCAGGCGCAACACTTTGTGAGACCAGATTTCGTGGCAGGGGCATCACTTTGTGAACTCCGATTTGGCGCTTAGACCGTGTGCTATTTTTGCTATTTTCGGTGCTCTCACATTTGTGCTCGACCTCCAGGCTTCAGTCCTCTAGATCCCTCATGATCCCGGCTCTTTGAGCCCTTAGATCTTGCTGAAGACCTAGAACTTTAGACCTCTCGAATTCTAGATCTAGAATCTAGACTTTGAGGCCTCTGGGCACGAGCTCTTGATATCTCAGGACTCTAGGTATCTAGACCTCCAAAGCTCCCCTAGAGGCCTCTAGATCGTTTTTTGCCTGCAGAACTCTAGATCTGTCCGCGTCTCAAGACCTCGAGATCTTGGGCCATTCGGTCTATATATCTAGGCCTTGAGAACTGTAGGGACCTGGAGCCCTTGATATCTGGATCTCACAACTAGACCCCTGGATGCCTGCACCTCTAGATCTCTTTGGGAGTACATATGTCTAGATCTCTAGACCTTCTGCTTCTACACCTGACCTCTAGACACAGTCTCTCTGCCAGGTGTTGGTCGGACTTTCAGGTAGGCAGTTCACATGAGAACAGCACGTGTTCGGCAGGGCGTGCGCAGGCATGCACGACCACTTGGCGAGAAAACACGTGTTCATACGACCATCACTTGGCCTTTAAGACATTTCTGCACGTGCCTGCATCTCCCCGCCATGCCTGCCCACCTTGTGTTTTTTCATCAGGATGAACGTGCTGGACCGCTTGTGCGACAGCCTCAAGAGCTTCGCAGATGACCGTCACCTTCAGAAACTGCGCATGGGCTTCGCACGTGTGCAGAGGACCGACGAAAGAAACTCATGAGAGCGTGAACGCGTTTTGAACACGTTTTGAACGTTTGACAAGGTTGGAAACATGGACCAATGGAAAGCTAGGATGCCTGATGCCTCCCAAGGGTTGGGTGAACATTTGATGTAAGACAACATCCTTCACAATGTGTGTAGACATGTGTGCGTACATTTTCTGTGGGCTTTATATCCCGCTTGTTTCGGTGCAGGATGCGGACTTGCAAACACTTGCATGAGTCGTGCGTGCCCATAATTTGTTCGGAACAGCGAAACAGCAAGTCTTCATTTATCCCCTTATCCCCTCATCCTCGTCCTCCGCTGGCCATCCAGCATTGAGTGGAGCGATGAAAGGGCAGACCCAGGGCGCAGCTGGTTTGCTTGGTCTACATTCACTAGGGATCCAAGTACCTTCTCAGAAGGTACGACTGGACCCTCCAAACCAATCACCTTCACAGAAGGTACCTTGGATCTGTAGGGATTCCATTTTGCGGATCTGTGCAAATACGCACGTGTGTGTTTGCTGCTGAAGTACATCCTTTTCTCGGCAATGAGTTTCCACAAGATCTTGAGATGCCCTTGGCCTAACGGGCCTCAAAAGAAACCAACGAGAGCCCCAACCAAACTCGTACTTGCGCATCATGATTCCTTTTTTGAGGACATGATAGGACATGATTATGAGAAAGCTTTGAGTGAAGTAGTATACCCCGTAAGCTCCACTCCTTCCTTCTAGCATGTAGTGGCTACAACAAAACTAAGCATGTGAACTAGAAATTCAGGCGACAAGTGCACTCGGTGTGGAGGATCATAAAGATGTAGAACATGTTCTAGACTAGATAGGTTACCAGGGCATCCGGAATTCCAAAGACACCGTCTCGCCCGGTCTCGCCTTGCGTTTGTTGTTTCGACTCCGTCGTCAGGAGTCGCCAACGTGGAGCCTTCCAGAAAGCGGCTTGCCCATTTCGTGTGGGTTGTCAGAAATGTCATTGACATCTCCACCTTTTTTATATGGCCCACCCCATGGCAAGAGGTCCCATTATTTAATATGTTTTCTTGTGAGCGTGGCATTTTCTCTTCTTACGATATGAGCGTAGGTTTGGTTTTTTTTTTTAGGGGCCTAAGATCCTTGGAACCTTGGCAGCAAGACCTAATACAATGATCCGTTTCGTGACAAATCTCAGTGGCAGATTGTATGACCTCAATGCAGCTAGCCTGCCCTAAGAGGTTTGATTTATTTGATTTCCCATGCAACAGGCGGTGACCGGTTCAAGCTGCCATTTGCAACGGGGTGGATCCTCACAGTGAAAGGGAGATCGAGATGGCAATCATCCAAAATCGCTGCCCTTGCCTTTTGCCGATGCCATGAGTTGAAGATCGTTGGCCCTGGAGCCATCAACAGCTTTGTTCCAGGGTCTCGTTTTGCCTTCCTGGCTTAAAGCCTTGGCTCCAAAGACTCAACACAAAGAAAGCATTATACTCAGGTTACTACCTTCGGATGACATGGGATTTAGAACACATACATGGGAACTCACACATTCCCAAGTCATTTGCATTACCCCGCTTCTGATAAATCCCATGTCATCAGGCCAAACAATGTGATATGCTATGATAATGATATGTTTGATCTTAGCATATATGTGCATGGCCTTTGGTGCTGGCTTTCTTGAGATCTGGGACCTTGGCTCGCCGGTTTTGTGCCACCTGAGGCCTGCTTCGGAAATCGCTCGCCTCCGCACAGCGACAGCGAGGGTTCCTCCTCCTCCTCCTCGGATGAGGAAACCAGTGGTCTTTGTCGGACGATGTGCCCTGGCACAAAAAATCAGCGGGCGCAAACAGCGCAAACAGATTGGATTGAACGAGCTCCTTCTAACACCAACTCCCTCAGTTTCAGTTTTGTAGCTTTGGCACCGCCCCCATAATTCCAGCCTTGGGTGTTATGCACCAAGAACCTCGCCAGCACAGCTGCTCGGCGGACAAAGGCTGGCCTTTGGCCCGGCCTGTCCAACTTCAAGCCCCTCCCCCCCCCCGCAAAAAATAGAGAGTTGTCCAACCTCTGAACTTCGGGCCGCCCAAAATTCCCTTCAGAGGATCTTCCATCGGACTCAACTCTGTGGAGCCTCGCCTCGTTCGACCACCGTACTTGAGGTGACATGGCCTGACCAACCCTGTTGAGCCTGGGAGGGTCCAAATAAGTATCGTTTGAGTCATGAGGGTCACATGACTTCAGGAGAACTGATCCGTTGGCGGGCTCAGCACCCTGTAGGCTTACAGACGACAGTAAGCCTACAGGGTAAAAGCACTTGATGCCTTTTTTTGGGCTGAGCAATTTTCAGAGTGACATGCTGATATACACCGTATATACTCTAGATATCCTTCCTGGGTGTTTTAGTGCAAAAGAAACGATGGTTGTTTTCCATGTTCACTTCGATGTTCACCCATCAGACTGATCAGAGAGGTTAAGTCCGCAGCTGTGGGTTCATGCCCCTCAGGTGACCTTCCCTACTGATGTCCAAGCAGGTTTTCCTGACTGGACAAACGCCGGGCGCTCTGTCGAGCGATCGCGCTGGCACGCTGGCGATCGGTGTGCGTTGAGGAGACATTATACGGTCAGCTTCCTTGAGGGTTTGAACGTTGACCCAGACTCGATATGTAAAATATAACAAGGGATGATCGCCGGAGACATCTGAAATAGCATCCAGACAACCCCGTCCTGTCACCTCAGATGGTTCATCGCAAGTTAACTCATGGACACTCCATGGACGGACACCCGACTTGCACCAGATTCCCCTAGGCGACTTGCTTCCATCCGCAGCATTGCTGGTCGCGAGGTTCGAGCTCGAGACTCGCTGGTCGCTCGGCCGGCCCGGCCTGGCACGACCTCCAATTCAGTGGGCCTGGGCCAAGCGATTCGCGCAACACGACGATGGTCGGATTTTTACCACACCTCGATGCGGCTTAAAGACCCAGAGTCCCACGCTGAGCCACACTGAGCCACATTAGCTTGTAGCATTCTGTAGCCTTGTCAACTCCTTGTGTGGTTGCTGCTGGAGCCGACTCCCGTGCAAAGAACATGAAACAGAAAGCCTTGTCAACCCACCGAAAGCAGCTCTTGAGATCTCTTGAGACTAGTGCACATGAGGACTGGTGGTAACACGGGTGCACAATCTTTCTTCCATGTCGCACATCCTCATTTCGAAAGACATTGGAACAACAAAACAATGGCAAAGAAGCGGTACAACGAAACAGTCTTCTATACCCGCGTTACATCGGTAGCGACTCGTTGAGAGTCCATCTACTCCTTCGTTGCGCTGTTTTCGCTCTTCACTTCTACCCCATAACACTTCCTGGGAGCGAGCTTGGAGGGGAAGGGAGTCCTGTTGCAGAGAGGCATAGAGGCCGGGGCCAAAGCCTTCCATACTTCATTACTTCATGACAGTCCAAGTGTTTTCGAGGGATGCTCAGGTTTTTGAAAGGAACGTTTGCGTGATCCAGGTGCTTTAATGGTTTTGTGGTCCGCATCTCCCATGGTGTACATAGGGCACCAAGATCTCTTTGTGTTCCCTCATGTTTTGGTGTTTGCTTCGTCATCACTGCTTGGCCCGGGCAAATTCATAATTCGTGTGACCGGTAGATCAACCGGTAGCCGCCCAGCGGGCGGCCAGGCTGAGATTTGGATGATCAACACGGCGATCCAACAAAGTCTAAACTGAAAATTGAGGTGTGTGTGTGTGTGTGTGTTTCCCCAACATCTATTATACTCCCCTGCTATTCGGTCCACATGGAACCTGAAAACGTTTGGAAACTGGTCGAAACCACCGGTCAATTCTTTGAGTTCCATGTGGTTTCCATAAAGGGGGGTGCCCCTTTTTGGTGCCCCTTGGTGGAAAATGGCCGAACTCCATGGAACGGAAGGGGAGGCTGTGAAGGGAGGCTGTTCCGGGCGGCTTCAACGGCACATTTGGATGGCTTTTGGTGTCGGGCCAGGGAGTTCGGTGGATGCGTCGGAAGGTCCGAGGCTGTCGGGGCATATCAAACCCCACAGAACCAAATGTCAAAGCAACAAAGCTTCCTGTGCGCGGTCATTCGGTTTCACACGCTGAGTGAAACCGTACGCAGGGCCGAATCCGCACGCGGATGATTGCATTGCTTTGCTCAGAAACCAGGGATACTGAGTGACACTATTGAGTCCAACATATATTGCTTACATCTGCGTATACATACTTACAGTGGTTTCAGAGTAGATGGCACAGACCCCATGATGTTCATTAGATGGAGGTCTATCTAAAGCACCGACATTGGGGTCTGTGCCATCTACTCTTAATCCACTATAACTGGGGTGGGTCAGTTGTGTGTTGGGAGTGTTCCGTGCTTGAAGATGCCCCATTTCATGCTTAAAGCAGCCCACTCGGTCACACTTGATCATCCAAGTCCACATGAAGGATTGTCAACAGAACTATTGGACCGGACCAAACGTTTGGATTCAATGCTGGACTTATTGGGAGGCTCAGCAAGCCCAAGCAGACTTGACTCACCCAGGTGGTTTGGAAGAGCGATTTTGAAGCATCCCTGAGATCTCCCGGCATGGCAGAAAACTGTTGCCAGGCCAGATTTCTAGTTCGCTTCTTAGATCCCGGCGCGCCAAAAACTGAGCTGTTTACTGAGTGTGACTCTTCTAGAAACCATGCACCCCCCCCCCAAGCCCCGGGGCCCCGGCCCCGACCGCCCCCGACAGCTTCCAACATGGATTGCCATTTCGGGGTTCGTTCCGTGCACGGGGAATGCCATGGTTGGTATGTTTGCTGTTGATGTCAGCGAAAAAAGTAAGGTTGCGGATGTCCATAGTACGTGTTGAAGTTTGCCGTACAAATGCCAGTGCCAGCGTTTTGAGAAATGGCCATGAGTCAAAACGTTTTGGTATGGAACATGTACTCTTGAACATCTCGTTCCATACCCCGTTCCATACCTATGGATTCCTAGTTTACAATTGCTCGAGGTTCAATCAAAACGTGCGCTTTGCTTGCTGAAATACATTTACCGTGAGAAACGTGACTGAGATGACACGTCAGGTTTTTTGGTACAATTTGTTCCATACCCCCGTTCCATACCTGTTCCATACCTTATGGAACAAGGGATCCGTTCCATACCCTATGGAACCGGAAGGTGCGCGATGTTCACCTGAGACCCGGGGTTTTGACGCACACCCAAATAAAGACCGGCAAACAACAAATTCCACGAGGAATTGCCAGAACCTTGAGGAAGGTTTAATTTGAGGTGCACCTCAACTGCGATGACTGCGCCGTTCTGGAGCTTCTAGGCATACAGTATGTCCTGAAAGAAGTATAGTATAATGTTTGGAATTACATTTATTACTATTGCCAATATTAAATAGAAGTAATATTCATTCACTATCATTATGTAGAACATCATGGTACACTACACTCAAGCCCGTACATTCAAGTCGGTGCTTTCCCACTTGTTTTCACTAGCCAAATGGAACCCAGCAACGCGAAGGCAGGCGCAGTGTTGACTTTGACGGCTGCTCGGAGGAGATCTGCAAATCGAAAACGGCAGTGCTTTGGAGGTTGGGAAGGTCTGACGAGTCTGACGGAGGAGTCTCCAGCACGTGACCGAACTTGAGATCCCAGTGGCGGGTCGGTCACGAAGAGGTCTTGATTTGGGGTCACTTATACCAATCCTGAAGAGGTAATGGGAAGGTACTGGGAATGACATGATCGCCTCAGAGTTCCTGGATCAAATCTCAAAGGTACCAGTCAGACTGAGTTCAGCATATGTTTGCCACTTGGGATGTTGTCAGCCCTGTGTTGAGGAAGGCATCATTTGGAGCATTAGCAGGGCGTGACCTGTGAATTTCAGTCCCGTTTTTACTTCCCGGCACTGCAGCCGCAGTTCACACGAAACATCCCAGTGAAGCTAAAATCCCCAAGGTCCTCGTCCAACCGTCACGTGGGGGGATTAACTTGTGCAATGACAGACCATGAATTCAGTCACCTGCAAGGCCACCTCTGAAATCCCTGCGACCCTACCGCGTCCTCGTTCGAAGCTGTCATGCGAAGCTGTCCTGAACTCGTTCTGCGGCGGCGCCGCTTTTCGCCAGGAGAAAGTGGCGCTCCATTTGCCTCTCAGAGATCGGGGATGGAGGCTGTGAGAGGGGTAAAGGTTGATGTTGGGTAGTGCTCTTGTGGCACTTGCTCCAAAGGGCAAGGGCAGACACCATGAGACACCAGGTGTCTCACCTCAAAGAGACCCAGCTCATCGTGCCAGCTCCGTTTGGCCGTCTTCGTGCTGAGGGACGTCAGAGACCAGATCTGGACGAAACCTGATGCCAATATGATCAGCCTATGATGCCTATGGGCCTAAGATTAATGCTGAAGTTTTATTGCGAGAGGTTTTGCCCACATTCGAACATATTCGAAAATATAGCTCGAGCCTTCCTGAAGCAGGAGCATATTAAATTAAACTCCGCTCCCAAAAATGATAACCTGTCGTTTTACTGAAAAGTCGTCGCCGTGGAAGGTCAACCTTTGAGCACATTGGCTCCATGGCCGCCAGTTCTGCGCGACGTGAGAGCGAAACACTTTTGCGAGGAGATTTGTTTGCCACCGGGCGGTGGCTGCCGGGTGGGCCTGGCAAATTGAAGATATACAGTACATACATACTATGTATACCATGTGTTGATTGACACTCACTTTCGACGGGATTTGGAAGAATTGGCAGAAGAAGCATGTTTCCTGTAAGACACGAGGACTGGGGACTGCAATGGGGCATCCATATCGTCCACTTGAACTTTTTTGAAAACGATACGAGCATGCAGGCAGTTTCTTTGCACAGTGAGTTGAGGTCGTTTCAAAGGTTGATGGTTATAAGCACCAGTTGCAATGAACACGGATCTATCTCCATGGATCTCCATTTTTTTGGGTCGGTCGCTTAAGCACCAGGCTGTGGTCGGTCGCTTTCTGTTGCCGGCCTTCAGCCGATCACGGACTCCCGGTGCGGCCTGAGGCACGTCCTTTGGCGCAGTGTTTCCATGCGAACCTCACCGAACTGGAGCCACTTGGCTTCGACGAGAACGAGACGCAGCGCGGCTCAGCTGCGACCTGCACACCTGCGCGGGCGCGCGATCGCGAGTTTGCGAATGCTCGTGCCAGCTGGTGGCTTGGAATCGATGCGAACTGCACAGATGGTGGAGGGAGACTGCAACTTGTACTATAATTTACTGTATGCCACATATAAATATATATATATAGCCATATAGTGGATATAGGGCAACTCCACCGATGAGATGGGCAACCCTTGGGGATTCGCTTCCACTGGCGATGGCTCATCAGCAACAGGCACCCCCAAGATTGGGTAGTGATTCGTGTGGGTTCAAAGAAGAGACATTGGCATCCCCCTTGTTCATTCAGACCTTGTGATGCCTCTCGGAAACCTCTGATCTACTTGTCATGGTCCATCATGGCCGCCGAAACCATTGGCGGATTTCGCAGCGGATTTCACAGCGGTTCACCCAGGTGCGGGCAGAACTCCTTGGGGGAGCTCACCTCTGCACAGCTCGTCGAGTCGTTGAGCTGCCAGGGGGCTTAAGACAGAAAAGCAAGAAGGGTGACTTCGGAGATGATAAGGATGAAGCTTCAGAGATGAAGCTGAATTTGCTGACCAGCATGATCAGCAAATCAAAGTGCAAAAACCGCTCAGCTGGCCTTTTTGGATCAAGTCTTTGTGTTGGGTGTGACAGCATCTAGACAGGGACTTGATCCTTATAGGAAAGCCTGGTCAAGACTTTGGAAGAGGGTAGTGGGTAGAGGGTAGAAGGACATGATAAGACATGTGTCACCTGTCCCAAGTAGTTTTGGATTATATATAGTTGCTTGCTTTCCTTGAGCCAATCTGAAGCAACCATGAGCAACCCGAACCCTGTTAAAACCCTGTTGCGCAAGTCATCCCGGATGTTCATGGATTGTCCGGCAAGCTATATAGTAGCAAGAGTCCGACCCGCAGCGGCCCGCAGCAAGCCGAGACGTTCTCTGAAAACGCTGTCGTTTTGGTCTGTAAG